AGCAAAACCGTAAGTTTTATCAGAAAAGTACTTCAGACAAAAATTATAGATCATAAAATTATCTACAACAAATGCATGTAACTTTTCTTCTTACGAGCCACCGTTTCTGAGATATAACGATTCAAAAAAGTTATTAAAGTTGTTATCGTCATAATATGCATGAATACGACACGTACCTATATATTTCTCGAGTTGTTATATCTTTATATATAGTCCTTTCAAATAAGACCAAAAAAATCAGTTTGAAATTCATGCATATTATGACGATAACAACTGTTATAAATTTTTGAATCGTTATATCTCAGAAACGGTGGCTCGTAAGAAAAAAAGTATTAAAACGTTTGTTGTAGATAATTTCATGATCTATAATTTTTGTCTGAGGTACTTTGCTGATAAAACTTACCGTTTTGCTGAAAATCACGAAAAACGTCAAGATCAAATGTCAAAAAATTGAGTTTTTCGCGATTTTCAGCAAAACCGTAAGTTTTATCAGAAAAGTACTTCAGACAAAAATTATAGATCATAAAATTATCTACAACAAATGCATCTAACTTTTCTTCTTACGAGCCACCGTTTCTGAGATATAACGATTCAAAAAAGTTATTAAAGTTGTTATCGTCATAATATGCATGAATACGACACGTACCTATATATTTCTCGAGTTGTTATATCTTTATATATAGTCCTTTCAAATAAGACCAAAAAATCAGTTTGAAATTCATGCATATTATGACGATAAAAACTGTTATAACTTTTTGAATCGTTATATCTCAGAAACGGTGGCTCGTAAGAAAAAAAGTATTAAAACGTTTGTTGTAGATAACTTCATGATCTATAATTTTTGTCTAAGGTACTTTTCTGATAAAACTTACCGTTTTGCTGAAAATCGCGAAAAACGTCAAGATCAAATGTCAAAAAATTGAGTTTTTCGCGATTTTCAGCAAAACCGTAAGTTTTATCAGAAAAGTACTTCAGACAAAAATTATAGATCATAAAATTATCTACAACAAATGTATCTAACTTTTCTTCTTACGAGCCACCGTTTCTGAGATATAACGATTCAAAAAGTTATTAAAGTTGTTATCGTCATAATATGCATGAATACGACACATACCTATATATTTCTCGAGTTGTTATATCTTTATATATAGTCCTTTCAAATAAGACCAAAAAATCAGTTTGAAATTCATGCATATTATGACGATAACAACTGTTATAAATTTTTGAATCGTTATATCTCAGAAACGGTGGCTCGTAGGAAAAAAAGTATTAAAACGTTTGTTGTAGATAATTTCATGATCTATAATTTTTGTCTGAGGTACTTTTCTGATAAAACTTACCGTTTTGCTGAAAATCGCGAAAAACGTCAAGATCAAATGTCAAAAAATTGAGTTTTTTTTTTTCGCGATTTTCAGCAAAACCGTAAGTTTTATCAGAAAAGTACTTCAGACAAAAATTATAGATCATAAAATTATCTACAACAAATGCATCTAACTTTTCTTCTTACGAGCCACCGTTTCTGAGATATAACGATTCAAAAAGTTATTAAAGTTGTTATCGTCATAATATGCATGAATACGACACGTATATATTTCTCGAGTTGTTATATCTCTTTATTTATAGTCCTTTCAAATAAGACCAAAAAATTAGGGTGAAATTCATGCATATTATGACGATAAAAACTGTTATAACTTTTTGAATCGTTATATCTCAGAAACGGTGGCTCGTAAGAAAAAAAGTATTAAAACGTTTGTTGTAGATAATTTCATGATCTATAATTTTTGTCTGAGGTACTTTTCTGATAAAACTTACCGTTTTGCTGAAAATCGCGAAAAACGTCAAGATCAAATGTCAAAAAATTGAGTTTTTCGCGATTTTCAGCAAAACCGTAAGTTTTATCAGAAAAGTACTTCAGACAAAAATTATAGATCATAAAATTATCTACAACAAATGTATCTAACTTTTCTTCTTACGAGCCACCGTTTCTGAGATATAACGATTCAAAAAGTTATTAAAGTTGTTATCGTCATAATATGCATGAATACGACACATACCTATATATTTCTCGAGTTGTTTTATATCTTTATATATAGTCCTTTCAAATAAGACCAAAAAATCAGTTTGAAATTCATGCATATTATGACGATAACAACTGTTATAAATTTTTGAATCGTTATATCTCAGAAACGGTGGCTCGTAAGAAAAAAAGTATTAAAACGTTTGTTGTAGATAATTTCATGGTCTATAATTTTTGTCTGAGGTACTTTGCTGATAAAACTTACCGTTTTGCTGAAAATCGCGAAAAACGTCAAGATCAAATGTCAAAAAATTGAGTTTTTCGCGATTTTCAGCAAAACCGTAAGTTTTATCAGAAAAGTACTTCAGACAAAAATTATAGATCATAAAATTATCTACAACAAATGCATGTAACTTTTCTTCTTACGAGCCACCGTTTCTGAGATATAACGATTCAAAAAAGTTATTAAAGTTGTTATCGTCATAATATGCATGAATACGACACGTACCTATATATTTCTCGAGTTGTTATATCTTTATATATAGTCCTTTCAAATAAGACCAAAAAATCAGTTTGAAATTCATGCATATTATGACGATAACAACTGTTATAAATTTTTGAATCGTTATATCTCAGAAACGGTGGCTCGTAAGAAAAAAAGTATTAAAACGTTTGTTGTAGATAATTTTATGATCTATAATTTTTGTCTGAGGTACTTTGCTGATAAAACTTACCGTTTTGCTGAAAATCGCGAAAAACGTCAAGATCAAAAGTCAAAAAATTGAGTTTTTCGCGATTTTCAGCAAAACCGTAAGTATTATCAGAAAAGTACTTCAGACAAAAATTATAGATCATAAAATTATCTACAACAAATGCATCTAACTTTTCTTCTTACGAGCCACCGTTTCTGAGATATAACGATTCAAAAAAGTTATTAAAGTTGTTATCGTCATAATATGCATGAATACGACACGTACCTATATATTTCTCTAGTTGTTATATCTTTATATATAGTCCTTTCAAATAAGACCAAAAAATCAGTTTGAAATTCATGCATATTATGACGATAACAACTGTTATAAATTTTTGAATCGTTATATCTCAGAAACGGTGGCTCGTAAGAAAAAAAGTATTAAAACGTTTGTTGTAGATAATTTCATGATCTATAATTTTTGTCTGAGGTACTTTGCTGATAAAACTTACGGTTTTGCTGAAAATCGCGAAAAACTCAATTTTTTGACATTTGGTCTTGACGTTTTTCGCGATTTTCAGCAAAACGGTAAGTTTTATCAGAAAAGTACCTCAGACAAAAATTATAGATCATGAAATTATCTACAACAAACGTTTTAATACTTTTTTTCTTACGAGCCACCGTTTCTGAGATATAACGATTCAAAAAGTTATAACAGTTTTTATCGTCATAATATGCATGAATTTCACCCTAATTTTGTTGGTCTTATTTGAAAGGACTATAAATAAAGAGATATAACAACTCGAGAAATATATAGGTACGTGTCGTATTCATGCATATTATGACGATAACAACTTTAATAACTTTTTTGAATCGTTATATCTCAGAAACGGTGGCTCGTAAGAAGAAAAGTTAGATGCATTTGTTGTAGATAATTTTATGATCTATAATTTTTGTCTGAAGTACTTTTCTGATAAAAATTACGGTTTTGCTGAAAATCGCGAAAAACTCAATTTTTTGACATTTGGTCTTGACGTTTTTCGCGATTTTCAGCAAAACGGTAAGTTTTATCAGAAAAGTACCTCAGACAAAAATTATAGATCATGAAATTATCTACAACAAACGTTTTAATACTTTTTTCCTTACGAGCCACCGTTTCTGAGATATAACGATTCAAAAATTTATAACAGTTGTTATCGTCATAATATGCATGAATTTCAAACTGATTTTTTGGTCTTATTTGAAAGGACTATATATAAAGATATAACAACTCGAGAAATATATAGGTACGTGTCGTATTCATGCATATTATGACGATAACAACTTTAATAACTTTTTGAATCGTTATATCTCAGAAACGGTGGCTCGTAAGAAGAAAAGTTAGACACATTTGTTGTAGATAATTTTATGATCTATAATTTTTGTCTGAAGTACTTTTCTGATAAAACTTACGGTTTTGCTGAAAATCGCGAAAAACTCAATTTTTTGACATTTGGTCTTGACGTAATATCCTAGTATTTTTTTGGTTTGTAGTTATCCAGTGAAATTATAATCTCTGCATATTTAGAACACTTTGTGTTTGTTTTACCTATGTCAAGAAGTTACACAAGTAGTTATATTGCGATACTGTTTGTAGGCACTTTTCTTTATTTAGATAAAAAAGGTAATAAAGACCGCACATTATAAATCGATCAAATCTATATACCATGTAAGTATATAAAAATGTTAAGATGACTTGTATACCTATTTCATTATATTCAATTTAATCATTTTTTTTTAATTTTTAATTATGAGCACCAATTTCTAAAGTAAAATAATAATAATGTAAAATATTATCTATATATATAAAATATAATTGATTATTTATATTTTTTTTTATATAAGTAGTATGTATTGTGTGCCTATAACTACTTGGGAAGTTGCTTACTTTAGATACTTAAGTATAGAATTGGTACAGCATTTTGAGCAATTCGTGTACTAGAAGAACGGTAAAAATCATTAAAGTAAAAATTTTATGTAATTTTAAATCATTGCTCTTAATATAATGTAGGAGTTATAACTTTACTTTCTTATATATTGTGAAATGTATTAAGAATTAGAATATATTTTAATTAAGGAATTAATTGTTATTTTCATTTTTATTTGTTTAAAAAAAAAACCTAATAAACCTTCAAAGTAAACTGAAATGACGGAGGTGTACCAAATGTCCTTATATACCAATTTTCCTTATAAATCAAAAGTCTTTATATACCAATTTTCCTTATATACCAATTTTCCCTATATACCATGTTTTTATATGCCAAATGTGCCATCCAAATATAACAAATATGCCATTACCGTCACCATCTCCATCATCTCCATCATCCCCATCACCCCCATCATCCCCATCATCCCAATCATCTCCATCATCTCCATCATCCACATCACCCCCATCATCCCCATCACCCCATCATCTCCATCGTCTCCATCATCCTCATCACACCCATCATCCTCATCAGACACATCATTCCCCTCATCATCAACCCCATCATCCCCATCACCCCAATCATCCACATTTCCTCCATCATCCCCATCATCCACATCACCCCCATCTTCCCTACACCCCCATCATCCCAATCATCTCCATCATCTCCATCATCCCCATCATCTCCATAATCTCCATCATCCACATTATCCCCATCTCCCCATTCATGCCCATCATCACCATCATCTCCATCATCCCCATCACACCACTCATCCCCATAATCTCCATCATCTCATCACATCCATCATCCTCATCATCCACATCATTCCCCTCATCCCCATCATCATCATCTCCATCACCCCCATCATCCAAATCAACCCCATCACCCCAATCATCCACATCTTCTCCAACATCCACATCATCCCCCTCATCCCCATCATCTCCATCACCCCCATCATCCAAATCAACCCCATCACCCCAATCATCCATATCTTCTCCAACATCCACATCATCCCCCTCATCCCCATCATCTCCATCACACCCATCATCTCCATCATCTCCATATTCCCCATTACAACCATCATCCCCATCACCCCCTTCATCACCATCATCTCCATCATCCCCATAAGCCCTTTCACCCCCTTCATTCCCATCATCTCCATCATCCCCATCACCCCCTTCATCCACGTCATCCCCATCACCTCCATCACCTCCATCACCCCCTTCATCCCCATCACCCCCATCATCCCCATCATATCCATCATCCCCATGATCTCCATTATCTCCATCACCCTCTCAATCCTCATCACCCCCATCATCTCCATCATCCCCATCACCCCCATCATCTTCATCATCTCCATCATCCACATTATCCCCATCGTCTCCATCATCCACATCACCCCCCTCATCCCCATCATCTCCATCACACCCATCATATCCATCATCCCCATCATCCCCATTACACCCATCATCCCCATCATCCCCATCACCCCCTTCATCCCCATCATCTCCATCATCCCCATCACACCAATCATTTCCATCATCTCCATCACCCCCTTCATCCCCATCACCCTCTTCATCCCCATCACCCCTATCATCCCTTATCAGTTTTTTTCGGGTTATTAATACTTAATAGTGACTTCCGGCAGAAAAGTAATTTTTACTGATTTAAACACTGTCATTCTTATATTACATAAAAAACAATAAACGACTTTTTTTTGGTTTGTAGTTATCCAGTGAAATTATAATCTCTGCATATTTAGAACACTTTGTGTTTGTTTTACCTATGTCAAGAAGTGACACAAGTAGTTATATTGCGATACTGTTTGTAGGCACTTTTCTTTATTTAGATAAAAAAGGTAATAAAGACCGCACATTATAAATCGATCAAATCTATATACCATGTAAGTATATAAAAATGTTAAGATGACTTGTATACCTATTTCATTATATTCAATTTAATCATTTTTTTTTTATTTTTAATTATGAGCACCAATTTCTAAAGTAAAATAATAATAATGTAAAATATTATCTATATATATAAAATATAATTGATTATTTATATTTTTTTTATATTAGTAGTATGTATTGTGTGCCTATAACTACTTGGGAAGTTGCTTACTTTAGATACTTAAGTATAGAGTTGGTACAGCATTTTGAGCAATTCGTGTACTAGAAGAACGGTAAAAATCATTAAATTGTAAAAATTTTATGTAATTTTAAATCATTGCTCTTAATATAACGTAGGAGTTATAACTTTAATTTCTTATATATTGTGAAATGTATTAAGAATTAGAATATATTTTAATTAAGGAATTAATTGTTTTTTTTTTCATTTTTATTTGTTGAAAAAAAAAAAACCTAATAAACCTTCAAAGTAAACTGAAATGACGGAGGTATACCAAATGTCCTTATATACCAATTTTCCTTATAAATCAAAGGTCTTTATATACCAATTTTCCTTATATACCAATTTTCCCTATATACCATGTTTTTATATGCCAAATGTGCCATCCAAATATAACAAATATGCCATTACCGTCACCATCTCCATCATCTCCATCATCCCCATCACCCCCATCACCCCCATCATCCCAATCATCTCCATCATCTCCATCATCCACATCACCCCCATCATCCCCATCACCCCATCATCTCCATCGTCTCCATCATCCTCATCACACCCATCATCCTCATCAGACACATCATTCCCCTCATCATCAACCCCATCATCCCCATCACCCCAATCATCCACATCTCCTCCATCATCCCCATCATCCACATCACCCCCATCTTCCCTACACCCCCATCATCCCAATCATCTCCATCATCTCCATCATCCCCATCATCTCCATCATCACCATCATCTCCATCATCCCCATCACACCACTCATCCCCATAATCTCCATCATCTCATCACATCCATCATCCTCATCATCCACATCATTCCCCTCATCCCCATCATCATCATCTCCATCACCCCCATCATCCAAATCAACCCCATCACCCCAATCATCCACATCTTCTCCAACATCCACATCATCCCCCTCATCCCCATCATCTCCATCACACCCATCATCCCCATCATCTTTATCATTCCATCATCTCCATCATCCACATCATCCCCACATCATCCCCATCATCTCCATCATCCCCATCACACCCATCATCGCCATCATCCCCATTACCCCCTTCATCCCCATTATCTCCATCATCTCCATCACCCCCATCATCCCCCTCACCCCCATCATTCCCGTCATATCCATCATCTCCATCAGCCCCTTCATCCCCATCAGCCCCATCATCTCCATCAGCCCCTTCATCCCCATCACCCCCATCATCTCCATCATCCCCTTCATCCCCATCGCCCCCATCATCTCCATCATCTCCATCGTCCCCATCATCTCCATCATCCTAATCACACCCATCACCTCCATCATCCCTACATCCCCATCATCCACATTATCCCCATCACACCCTTTCATCCCCATCACCCCCATCATCCCCATCATCCCCATCATCTCCATCATCTCCATCATTCTCTTAATCCCCATCACCCCCATCATCTCCATCATCCCCATCATCCCCATCATCCCCATCACCCCCTTCATCCACGTCATCCCCATCACCTCCATCATCTCCATCACTCCCTTCATCCCCATCACCCCTATCATCCCCATCATCCCCATCAACCCCATCTGTCAAAAAAAAGAGAAATGTCTTCGTTTTTTTTTTAGATTATTTTAAGAGTGAATGTCTTGTTCATAGTTCTGTGCCTCTCCCCTTATTACATGTTTGAAAAGATATACGGCTTAAGGAACGTTTCAAGATTTTCATAAAAATCATAAAAAATATCAACTTTACACATTTGTTCAAATTATGTGTGCTACAATATTCGTTTGAGTCAGATGGAAATATTTTTATGAGTGTGTGAAGGCAACAGAAAGTAAGAATATAACCTTAACAGTTTTATTGTGAAAATATGACAACACCCGATCTCAATGTAAACGTTAGTAGAGACAAAGACATCCTGCTCCCTCACCACCATTATGAATAAATAAACTGTTTAATAGGAATTAGATTACGATAATTAATATATAATAAAACAACGTGTGTCAACTGAAGATCGACAGAAGAATGATTTATTGAACATAGACAAATACAATAACGCTTATTGACATGATTGCCACAAGATGGCTAGTTGTATCCATATTTTGATATCCACAACACTTCCCATTAAAATATGATCTATTTTAAACTATATAAATACTTAACATGAACTTAAAGTTAAAATATATTACACTCTAACAATTCCTAAAGCATTTACATGTTTATAATGTTTTACAACACTTAAGCTTTTGGTAAATAAATCTGCAGGCATATCAGATATACACAAATAATTAATACTAACAATGTTTTTATTTATAATATCTCAGCAATAGTGATACCTGACATCCATATGTTTAGTTTTATTATGGAATACTGGATTCAGTTATAATTTCTGAGCACTCATACTGTCATTATACGAGTACAAAATAATAGTATACATTCTACAAGTCACTTCATTTTGTAAGTTTCTCAAATACACTGCTTCTTTGCAGGCTTCTGATTTTGACACATTTTCAGCTACAGTACTAGAAAGTGAAATACATTTTTGTTTGCTACAATTCCAGGATATAACTGATCCTGACAAAATATAACAAAACCCTGAATATGATTTACTGTCATTAACATCACTGCTCCAGTCCTTATATCATTATAACATATCTTCTACCTGGCAATTTCCCAGCTATAGCCAGGGTCTGCCTATATCATTATAACATATCTTTCCTTATAACATATCCTTCAATATTATCATTTTTATTCTTACTACATTTCAAACCAAATTTTATGTTTTCTTTAAGTATATATAATATTCTTTTAGCATAAACCCAAAGCTCTTCACTAATACAGTTATTGAATTGGATTAGGTATTAGGTAGGATCTTCAAACTGCCTATAAGTTGTTGATAAGGATTCTGATTATTTATTTATTTAGGCACACAAACAGAATATAATCCGGATTACATTTGAGTTACAGTCTAAAATTATATTTAGCTTGATTATATTCCCAAGCATGTGTACACTTCATAATCATTACAAAACCAATATTTTTGTCAGGAGCTACATTATTTAGGTACAATTTAAGACTAATGAATAAATAGGAACATATAACTTAAATTCAATTACTTAGTTGTTGATACAAAAAAAAACATTAACGGACATTACAAATTAGTTTAAATTACATTCACTGAGTCAACAATAATATAAATAGGAGCAAATGAGACAGATACAGTCAATTAAGTTTGTGTAACAAGTATAATTAAAAAATAAAATTAAATTAAAGAATTAAATTAAAAAATTATAATAATAAATAAATTGTCAAAATTAAAATATAATTCAATAACAACTACATGGCAATAAACATAAGAAAAAAAAAAGTCATTGGAGAGTAAATCATTGAATCGTCAATATAATAAGCCTTACCCTATTTTTAAGCCTTGTAAAATTGGGATCAAATATATCTAACATGTCACTGTGTTTTGAAAGTAAATCATTGTATGTACGGCAGAGTCTAATGATAGGGTTATAATATGATGTATTACTAATGTGAACGCTGAGGACGAAGGTATTCAAATGTGGATGTTGAGATCTAAATTTGATGTTAAAATGAATGAGTGATAATAAGGCAGATAGGTCGATTCTAGAATGAATTATTTTGTGCCATGCATAAAGTTCAATTCACATATGTCTTTATTTTAGTGTGAGCATATTAAAATAGTAAAATTCTATCTTTTAAGAAATATTAGATTTCTCAGAAGACTAATTTTTCTTGTAAATCCAGAGTCATAAAAGCTGAAGGTATAAAAGCTGAAAAAAATTGATTCATTACTGGGAAAACCATAAAAACAGCCCTTTTCTATTTCCCATACAAACGTTTTTTTTTTTACATTAGATTTGATAACTAATATGACAATCATTCTGTCGAACTTCATAACACGGTGATTTATGGCTTACAAGTAAACTCCAAAAATAAAATAAAAAAAACGTAATAGATATTTCTTGATTATAGGGCGATACGAAGTTCGCCAGGTCTTCTAGTATTTAATAAATATTGATTAATTAGTTTACATTCCGCGAAATGTTGCGTTTAAGGAACGTTGGAATTACTGAACTTGAATTTCACTAGCAACTCTTTTATCGTAATAGTATTATGTATTACTGTGAGTTATGTATTTTAAAACAGTCAACATGAAGATGAACTTAAAATTTTTTACTCATATAAATTTTTGTACTACTTCTATATTGTCGACGTTTATTTACATGCTGAAAAAAAGAGCGTGGGAATTGAAACGTTGACGCGGGCTTTTTGAAAGGGCAATGTCCATTTTTGGCCTAGCGTGAACAAGCTGCTATCAAAAAACAAGTTTATGAAAAAAAAAATATTTTTTTAGCTAGCCATTCTATTGTTGTTGGAGTGTACATTTGTATTTTATTGAAAAAATATTTTTAAAGTATCTTCATTGATTTGCTTTATTGATCCACGTTTTGTGTTACCTGCAAGATCTCGCAGTACTTAATACAACTATAAGTTTTTAATAAAAAAATATAATATTTGTTTTTAATTAGTTTCGTCATTTAAAACGTTTTATAAACTGAAATATGAAGAATGTTAAACATAATCATATTTGTTTTCGATCGATTTTTTAATGATGTTTTTCTATTGCAACACTAATAAAACGAAAAAATACATATTGACATTGATATGTCACAGACTGATTGTTTACATTCGCTTTGTTTACCTATATACATTGAGAGTGTTGATTTATTATGGATTTTCTTTCAACGATTGTTTATTCATTATGGGCTCCGACCTATCTTTTCCAATGACCCCTGCACATCTACGGACCCCGAATTTCGCTCAAACGATGACCCTGGCTTTTGTATTATGGACTCTGATCAAGGCATAAACGATGAACAACACTCACGTAATGTGGACCCCGAAACTAGCTCCATCGCTAACCACGGCTTTAATATGGACATTGAACAAAACCAAAGCGTGTCTCACGATAGTCTGCACACAGAAGAAGTGACTTCTTACCAATCCGTATCTCTGAGATGCATAAACTGTGGAAGTGATTTGATAGAGAGAAGGCGACATAGTCTAGATCTTAATTAGGTTCAGTCTATTATAAGACAGTGGATAGCTCCTCGACGAGTAAGTGTCAATTTAATTAATTATTTAAATTACTCGTTTTTTAATAGATATGTATTGTATATGCTATTCCTATAATGCAAAATGAGGTTTTATTGTTTTATATAATCATAATCCATAAGGATTAAGTATATAAATACTGTTGTATTATAATAAATGAAAAGATGTTTACTCCTAACACATTAGCTGACTTTGTTATCGAAAATAATTTAAATAGAAGGCGCGCAGATTTTCAACCTATAAATGTAAACATGTATAGTTTCATATTTCCAAGAATAGAATATAATGATCTTATATTAATTGCATGTGGAACATACCAACTAAAACAAGCTTGTTTGTATTACGGGCAGCACATAAGAGGCGAAGGTTCCTATACTTTAGAAAAATGTAGAAATATAGCCAGCGACCTATTGGTTGACTATCTGATTCCTTTGGCCAACTGCAGATTATTGCACGGAAAAATACAAAGCAGGCATGTAAGTCAAAAAATATATTTTATATATACAGGGTGACTGGTGAATTACTATCGATATTTGAGGATGTGATAGTTGACGATCATATATGACAAAATAAAAATTAATATAACATAAATATTAATAAACTTCTAAGTAAAGTCAACCAAAAGTTATGTAAATAATTACGCATCGTATGAACACCCTACAGATTAGGTATACCCACACACACACACACACACACGTGCGGCGGCGTGTTGTTGTATCAGCACGCCGCCGCACGCGTCCACACTTGGAACACTTGGAACGTGTACACACTTTATTTATTTATACGGAAATTTGGTCAAAAATTAAGTACCTATTTTTTTTACATAATTCGAATGAGAATCATGTACCGAGTATGCTCCTTAAATATTGATAGTAATTCACCAGTCACCCTGTATATATTATATGAAAATAATCACAATGGTAAGGAAGCTATAAAAGAATATAATTGTAATTGTATGGTTGGTCGAAGGACAGTGGGTTGCTGTGCTCATATAATTACTATTTTATGGTTTTTAAGTTGGGCAAGGTATCAGGAACACATTTCACCACCTGTCCAATTTCTTGAACACATAATAATAACATATGATGTCTCAGAATAAAAATAAATCATAAAAAATGTTGTTTTATTTTGCTTTAACCTGTTTTTCCTCACATGACAAAAATCTCTTTTTAAACATTTTGATACAAAATTAAGTTCATATTCTCGTTATTACTAGTTAGTGCTTTTAAACTAATTACAAAAAATATGATAAAATGGCTGTTCACGTCAGGCCAAAGTCCCCATACTAAGTGGACAATCTTCTTTTAATTATTTTAAATAGTTTTATACTATAATTTGCAAAGTTTTGTAAAAATTCACCGCGATGCTCCATATGCACAGAGGGGTATTCTTTCAAAGAATGCAAGGTTAACATTGAAAAAGCTTAACATTAATT